TCTTCAGCGCTCGTCGATCGGGTCGGATGTCCACGCACACTATCCGAGTCGCGTCGTAAGCCCTCGCACACTATCCGACCCGATCTGCTCCCGATTCAAAATTCGAATCGGGCCAAAATGACCTCCCGAGCCAATCTTAAGCCTCCCGAGCCAAACTAGAACATCTCGATCCAATCGTAAGCCTTCAAATCGTGCTCGGGTCGGATAGTGTGCGGCTCGCATAACACGTGATCAACCGTTCGATCGTTTACTGGCCGAGCCCCGTGATTGGCTGTTCCTGTTTACCAGCTGAACGGTCCATGCTGGATGTTATGTGATGTTAAGTTTACCTTAATAACGCCAAAATACGGTTCTTATCTATTCCGCAGAATCTTCTTACTATTACAATAAACTGCACAGAAGAACTCTCTATTATAACATCCTTTCCCGCCATATCTAGCTCTTTCCCTTCACCGCGTCCTTCCACTTCGACTACTGTTTCGCCCCTCCGCTTGCCCCGAACGAACTATTCGCTGAGCAGCGGTACTAACTAAATCAACACTTCGGCAAACTCTACCCCGAACACTATTTACACTCGCGAATCATTATAGCCGTAGCCCGAATGCTAGTCTCTGTACGCTACTTCGCGCCGCGTCTAAGTACTGCGCGCGACAGTCACCCTCTCGACTGTTCCGTACTACCTCGCGTGCTCGGTGCCTTGCGCACTCAATGCTTCGCGGCATTCGGTGGTTTCGGCGGTTTCGGTGTTCGGTACCGTTTTCCCCGAACGCTATCCCCGCGAATTTCGCTACCCGATTCTCTATTTCCCCGACTCTCGATTCACCCGCGCCGTCACACTAGTCTCGAGTTCCAGAATCTTGTCACTCCAGAGTCCATATCCGATCCTACAAGCATGCTCATGGATTTAACGTAGACTTGTAATATGTAAGGAGCTATATAGTACGCGCGCTCGCTAGCTCCCCAGTAGCTACTGATCATGTCTGTGGTAGATATGTACCAAAGATCGTAGAGTGCCGGAGGCACAAGATAAACCACTCATGCGAAATCACGTGCAATGACGTGTAGTACGCAATGGAGCGCCACGTCCGCCATTTTAGGAAGCAAAACCCGCTCCGAGTCTGTTTGATACATAGAAATAATATGGATAACCATGGTTAATATATATATGTATATTATAATATAATGTAATAGATAATATTTTTATGCCAATAGCTGTATCAAATCTCTCATTTGAAGTGTACAAAATCTACAAAGATTTCATAATCGGATGTTACTATGTAGTATGTACACAGTGCAGTGGTGTAGTGTCAGACAGTGTCAGTGGTACAGTGCACACGCACTTCATTGGACCGTCTCAAACAAATAATGGTAATTAAACACTAAATGTATCTACTATCAAAGTATTAATGTTTCTCTACTCCATTTCGCCTATTATTGTCGATAACTTGCTGTAAATGCCGTTTCAATGCTCATCTGCAACACACAAGTAGTGAAGTACACCGCACGTACGTACGCCCTGTGCACAAACAACAGTGACACTGCCACTGGTACTACATGTATCAACGAAGATTGCACAACTCTTTCACGATGGATTTCGACAAAAAAGAATGTTTTCTCACCTTTCCGTATTCTTGGGGAACCTGAAGAAAGACAGGTCGGGATTACACTGACGATTCGAGAAATTTACAGCAGAACAGTAAGCTGAGCTGACAGCACACAGCAGACAGTTGCACAGTAGCAGATACAGCAGCATCCGGGAACTTCGTGTGAACTTGCTTCCTAAAATGGCGGTTGTGGCGACCCATGACCTACTACGCTATGATTGGAGAGTGGTTTATCTTGTGTCTCCGGCACTCTACGATCTTTGATATGTACATTCGTATACATATTATCAGGAGCGTATAATGACAAATGTCATTATACAATGACATGTCATTATGTAATGACAATGACAATTGTCATTATACTCTCCTGATATTATATATACATAAAGTATATATTACGTACTATTATTTAGGTCGTACTGCAGGCCTGAAACGAGAAGATTAATCTCCCCTTTCTCCCTCAGCCAACTATATTACGTATTTGTGTTTAGGCTGTACTGTATGCCTGAAACGGTGCTCGCGCATGCGCAATATCCTCCCAAAAGAATAATATGTTGCAAAAATTATAAATTTAAAATGAAGAGGGGTTATTCTAGCATAGATTTTTATGGTAAAATTTTATCAGGAGACCTCACTTCAGAAATAAGAAGCAGACCTTTCACGTTAGGTTCCCGCTGCATATACCAGTCACTACATAAACATGCTTACGTTACTGTTTATCGCATGTGCAATATCTCACCAGAGTAGTTTTATTTTCTGATGAAAATGCATTTAGTATGGTCAGTGGGGATCTCAACATAGGTTTCTGTAATAAATTCCTATCAGTGGACCTGTATTTATAACAAGGAGCGCGCCCTATCCTGTAGGGTGCAAATCTGCTACTTCATCTTCGCCCGCCCTTCCCTTAGTCTCCATTGTCGCACGCTCACCCTCCTTCTCCTTCCACCGCCCCTCGGCTATTTTTCCTACCGCCTTCCTTCTGTCTCCCACCCCTCTCTTCCTCAGCAAGCTATAATACGCACTTTTATTTCGGCCGTATACTGCAAGCCTGAAACGGTGCTCGCGCATGCGCCAATATCTCCCGAAAAGAATAATATTTTGCAAACATTATGAATTTAAAATGAAGAGGGGTTATCCTAGCACAGATCTGTATGATAAAATTTTATCAGTAGATCTCAATTCAGAAATTGGAAGCAGATCTTGCATGTAAGGTCCCCGCTGCATATACCAGTCAGTATATGACCTGAATACGTTACTGTTTTAGCGCATGCGCAATATCTCACCATCGGAGTTAGACTTTGTGATTAAAATGCATTTACTATGGTCAGAGTGTATCTCAGCAGAGGTTTCTGTAATAAATTCTTATCAGTAGCCCTGTGCTTATAATTAGGAGAGCGCCCTAGCCTGTAGGGTGCAAAACTCCTACTTCATTCCCGCCCGCGCTTTTCATTGTCTCCATTGTCGCACGCTCAGTCTCCTTCTCCTTCCACCGCCCCTCGACTATCTTCCCTGCCACCTTCCTTCAGTCTCCTACCTCTCTCTCCTTCAGCCAACTATATTACGTACGTATTTGTCTTTAGGCTGTAGTGCATGCCTGAAGCGGTGCTCGCGCATGCGCAATATCTCCCGAGAAGAAGAATATTTTGCAAACATTACGAATTTAAAATGAAGAGGGGTTATCCTAGCACACATCTGTATGATAAAATTTTATCAGTAGACCTCACTTCAGAAAATGGAATCAGACCTTGTATGAAAGGTTCCCGCTGCATATACCAGTCAGTACATAACCTGGCTACTTTGCTGTTTTAGCGCCTGCGTAATATCTCACCAGCGGAGTTTTATTTTGTGATGAAAACGCATTTAGTATGGTCCGGCGATATCTCAACATAGGTTTCTGTAATAAATTCTTGTCAGTAGACGTGTGTTTGTAATTAAGAGAGCGCCCTAGCCTGTAGGGTGCAAAACTCCTACTTCAACCCCGCCCGCCCTTCCCTTTGTCTCCATTGTCGCGCGCTCAGCCTCCTTCTCCTTCCACCGCCCCTCGACTGTCTTCCCTGCCACCTTCCTTCAGTCTCCTACCTCTCTCTCGCTCAGCCAACTATATTACGTATTTGTCTTTAGGCTGTACTGCATGCCTGAAACGGTGCTCGCGCATGAGCAATATCTCCCGAGAATAATAATATTTTGCAACTTACATCATGAATTTAAAATGAAGAGGGGTCACCCTAGCATAGATGTATATGATAAGGTATGTTTATTATGATTTACTAGAAAATCTTTCGTCACATACCGATTTTGAACTGCAAATTTAACCCGCAGACTTAACCTGCAAACTTAACATGTACGTTAAATATGCAAATTTAATCTGCAACCCGCAACAAACGATTTGCTCTCTTTCCGTTCATTGATCGTCATAAAGCAATGCAGCGCAGATTTCTTACATTTTCGGTCGATATTGGTTGGAAAAGCATGATTCTACTCCGCACCAGCGTCATGATAGCATCGACTCGATGCTTGCCTATGACGTCGAAGGATGATGGGCCTTTTCAAGCATGTGATTTCTTCTCTTACCCGATGTAACGTGAACTCCGAGGCCATGAGAAGAACTTTTTTTTCCAGCACTCTATGGAAGCGCATAATATGCGAGAGGACTTATATGCGAAATGCTAATATGCGACTCGTATAACACGTCGACCACTCTTAGCATAATACGCCCAACGATGTGGTTATCTCCAGGTCATTAGACACGTTCAAGGGTGAACTGAGAGGGGTGCGTTCCCAGACATACATACAGGCTGTTTAATACTCTTTAGATAAGTAAACGAGTATACCAGCGATGCTGTGTTACAATATACACAGATAGGATAGTTCTGTAATAACCACACATAAAAATAGAATAAAACTTCTTGAACAATTACTGTTTAATATTTAATTTGAGCTGTGCTTGCAATTAAAACCTAATAATTTTGTGTATATAAGGTGAAATATCTCCCGCTTATTGTACAATAAATTTCATTATTTTAACTTAGTCTACCTAGCGTGGGTTCAAACTGTTTTAAAACAATTTTCTTAAATATAATTGATTGTCATGTACTCTATGAATAGAATTATTAAACAGTCAAATTCTCGCATCTTACTATAACGACACACCACATGCTGCAACTCATATATTTCACGGAAGTGAAGGTAAACGTACGACGTTCCTACGTGGGGAAATGCCTATATATATGAACTGAAACGGCCTTGCTTCATTCTGCTCACTGCGCACAGTAACATTTCCACGTAATTGTTCCAATCCTATGAATAACGCATATCCTACAATCCGTGTTCTTTTGATTGGTGTAAACAAACTATGCACATTCAATCACTCGTTTGGCGGCTGCTTTGAACACGTTTATCACTCACGTGTGAGTTGTCTTCGATACAGGCTGTGCCATGAGGATAGATGAATATGCTTTCAAATAAAATGATGAGTATAATAATTACTATACCGAGTACGGCTACGAAAATGGCTATAGCAATCGGCAGTTATTCAATACCAACACACACAGGAAGACCATTGTGCACCACGATGGTACTAATGTGCGTGCTCCGTTGGCAGGGGCGCACATTCCCACCTAAAAGGGAATGTAAGCACATTCATCAATAACCATCATGTTATAAAGAAAATATAAACGTAGCACGACAGCTGCATTTTTGCCACCATCAAAGGACACGGGCATCAGCTCGGGTATTTAGATACATGCACGTACCTTCATGCGCGAACGCATGGAAACCTGCTAATGGGAGACACACCATGCGAATTTATTCGCCCGACTGCAGTGATTGTTAAAATCGCCGCGAAATTCGCATAGTCGTTAGCATTCGCTTGAGTGTGTCCGCTCAAAGCGATGGCGAATTTCGCCGCGAATTTTATCCGCACCGAAATTCGCAGCTATCAAACATGTTTAATATTTTTGCTGCAAATTTTTATCGCTGCGTACAGATGCATGGACTGTTGGACTGTTGGAGCCATGGTTGCAGCCGTGTGGCGACAGTAGATTGCGTGTAGTGTGTCCGCTCAATTTATCTTTATATATTTTTATTTATCTTTATATATGCGGGCGCGAATATTTTCGCCGCGAAATCTGATCGCAGCGAAATTCGCATAGTGTGTCCCCCGCTTAATAATTAAGGAACATAATATAGTCTTGTACGCATCGCAGATAAACGCGCCCGCAGGTCATTACATAAATATGAACAATTTCGTACTATATTCGTACAAGGGGAGTATAAACACTCACGTACCGAGACACGCACGCACCGAAACGCGCACCCACTCGGAAGCACAAACACACGCGCGCAAGCACTTCCACACGCACGCGCGCCCCTATACACATGAAAACAAACGAGCGCGCGCAAGCCCGCACGTATTCAAACGCCGACCGCGTATATACATACCGGCCTGTCGCAGTGTTGCTTATTGCTTCCAACGCACATCGCGTATGCCATAGCATGCGCTACGTATGTCTGTTCAAAATTTCCTCGGAAGAGATGCGCCATGGGTCCATGCGCGTACACCACTACGTCCTCGCCACTATGAGGTTCGAGTGTAAGCGGCACAGCAGCCTCCTGCATGTAATCCGGATCGACTGAAACAAGAAAACAGTCACTTACCCCGTACAGACTGCAAAATTTGACCTTACATCAAACAAGTCCTGATTTTGCAACAAAGCGGTAGCAAAAAATGCAGCCACTACCGGCGTAGCAGATTCAGATGCGCTGTAGTTCGATGGTAGAATAACAACTAAGTCGCATGTTGTGACTCATTCAGAAGTGACCATTTCATGTGTCATTTGTGTGCCAAGAAAAATAATAATGAAATAGTAATCAAAACATTGTACCATTATAGTCTTTACGAAAAACCTTTTGAGCCACTCGCCCTTCGGGCAAATGTTCTGTAAAATGTACATGCCCGAATAACATTCTAGTTGCCCATATATTTTGCAGGAATATTTTAGAATATCGTGTAAAGAAGTGTACACCAGACAACCTCTAGACGCCATTCGTTTTTGGTGTTAACATTTTGTGATTTTAAATTAAAAACCTTTAGTTAATGGCCAGTTGTATTATGGTTTATGCGTTTTTAAAGCAGGAGCCCGTCTAGTAAGTGAGCTTGCAATGTTTACATGCCCGCCAAGATTTCTAAACGCCAGGCTAAATTCGAAGACTGACATTATATTTGAGGTTGTAGACCTAACCTAAACTAGTTAACGCTATCTTAATTCCAATTCCCACTCCGCACACATAGGGTGCAGCGTTAATTGATTTCTAGCTGCCCTTTATACTTGTGTCAGTGTTGGTAAGGTTAGGTCTGGATCCCCTGTAGCCAGGTCCCGCTCCATACAGCAGTGACGTGTATGGCATTCCATCGACGCCAGACATGTCGTTCGCTTTCTCTAAAATTTCAAAAGGTTTTAATATAAATTTTCGAACCATGGTCTATGCCCCTTTAATGTGCGTGGTACGTTAATAATTTCGTCAAGAAATGCTCGAACGGCGTGACTGTAACTCGCGAATGTAAACGGAAATATTAGCGAGCGGCTAAGGCCTTTGACTAACTTTACAACTAGACTTTCTCTCAAGCGAAATCGCTCGCGTAAATACCTAGCTATTGTAACTTTTCTCTGCATACATGTGAGGAAATTTGCCGCGCAGCTAATTAATAATGTCGGCTTTGTTAAATGTTTTCCGTCACCTGCACACAGCTAGCTAGATTATTAATAAGAATTGTGGTTAAGGAGCCTAACCGAACATCGGATTGCCACGCTTCGGATAGCCGGCAACCAGCATTGAGTGCGAGTGATCCGCCGTGACCACCAACAAGGTATCGTCAGCGTCGGTCATCGCCGTGGCTGTCTGAACGGCTTCTTCAAGCACAGTGACTTCGGTAGAGGCCGCGAAGGCGCGACCGGAATGATGTCCCTTGTCGACGTTATTGTCTGAAAGGAAGCCCTACCATGTAAGCCAATCAAGTCACAGTTGATTAGGGCATAACGGTAACAGCATATATATATATATATATATATATATATATATAAACGGGGAAGAACGTTCTCTGTTGCTGTACAAGCCTGGGATATTTACACTGTTACAGCGATAAATTTCATTATATGTTCAGTATTTCAATCCAATCCAGATTCTCGTGGTCGCCATTCTTACTATTACGCCTGACAGGGCTAAAACACGAAAAGCCGTAAAAATTGCCCAAAAGCCAATCACCATTTCTTAGAAATGATTACATGACCACTTGAATGTAAATAGAAAAGAGCTTGGATGTTCGGCGGGAGTTAACAAGTGAATGATAGACGTCACGTGACACGCTTAAGACGCATCTTGAACTTGGCTAATTAAAACAAGCTCGGTTAAGTCAGAACACGCATATATATTGATATTGATATACATGCTTTGGCTGAACATCGCTGGTGTGCATGCATCGCGTAGAGATGATAGATTTGGGAGGCAATGACAGGCTTAATTACGTACTTTCCACGAACAGATAATATCCACGAGGGTTCCGGTTAAGGATCTGGATGGCTGTCCTCACCATTTCGGCGAGAGTAGGATTGTTCTGTTCAGCCGGCGTCTCATCCACCACACATGCGAAGTGGCTCGGTTCGAACAGCCCTGCAAGTGTGTGTGTGTGTGTGTGTGTGTTATGCGCGAGTGTTCGTGAGTTCGTGCGTGCGTGTATTGTGAGAGAAACAAATAGATAGAGAGATAAGAGAGAGAGAGAGAGCGAGCTTGTGTGGCCGAGAAGTATAAAATCAACATCAGTGCTTGTTTCTGCGTCGAAGCCATCAGCACGTTAACAACGTTCGCTCCTAATAGTGGAGCGACTGAGAGCCAAAAATTTAGCTCGACCCCTCCCCACTTTAGAACAAGGCAAATAAGGTATCGTTGGATTCAATAGGATGTCTACTTCATAAAAAACAATGTTTTACAGTCAGATTCTAATTAAAACATGGCCAATTCACCTCTTGTTTGTAAAAACCCATAAAAAATGTGAATTTTGGAATATCTTCATAATTGGTTATTTTTGCACCTTAAAAGACTGAAAACATGTTAATATCACATTAATTCCTTTCTACTAAGGACACTCTCACATTATTTGGGGTTTTAACCCACTTCAATGGGGTTTTGGGCCCCTTAATACCCCAAAATCGGGGGGTTTACCCCTTTTTGCCATTTTCCAATCCTAAGTTTTGATGCAGTACGTACCCCTCCCCTACATTAGAACAAAACAAATCTGGACTCATTTGATTCGTAAGGATGTCAACTGTATGAATATTGATGTCTGATTTCCATATTTTAATGCTAACATGGCTGATTAACCCCCTATTTGCAAAAAAACAAAATAAGGAATTTCCCGATATCTCATTGTGTTGTACTTTCTCACTTACAAGGTTGAAAACAAGTAAATGTCACATTGTTTTCTTCCTGTCAAGGACACTGGCACATTAATTAGGGATTAACCCTCTTCAGTTGGCTCCAAATAACTCCTTGAGAATATTGTTAGTGTTTGAACATACTGCCTTATACACCGTCATGTCCGTATCACCTCAGACTTCATCTGTATTTTCAACCTCACTTATCTCCCGCTGATTCTCACATTCTCCACCACAGGTATAAATGTCAATGCACTCAAGTCCAGCAATGACACACTCAGTCACACTGGCATTTCTGTCCACGACAATCTTTGTCTGTACAGTATACAAATGAGTTATGTCTCTAACCTCAGCTGGTGCCGATTCATTCTGGTACAATGTTGGACAGAGTTCACCTTTTGCATTTACATGCCAACCATGGCCAACTGTTTTCACAGGCTTTGCGACGTGACTCTGACACCACACTGCAACTTGGTATTGGGCACGCAATACATGTTGCGCGAAGGCATCCTCTGTCGGCGGCAGTATTGGTGCAGGCTTGTCAGTGGTTGTGGCGAGTACGAAACGAAGCTCATTGAGTGAACTGAGTTTTCTTTTACCATGCATGAGGAGAACAAATCGCCTTGCAGTATCTAAGAATGTAGGGACATCCTGGAATGATTCCAGACTATGTAAGGCCTCTGCCTTTTTGGTGAGAGCTAAATAAGCCGTTCGCTTTCCAAGTCTGTATAGAGCACTTGTCGTGTCACATCCCGACAGAGCATGCGCAGCTGGTAAGGACGTGCATGTTGCTTTGCCAAGTTTGGTACTGATGTGGTGTACATGTATGAATCGTTCCTTTGTGACAAACTTTCCTGAGTGTCCAGCATGCATATACACATTATCGGCCAGCGCTCCCCTGCTTCAGTAATATATCAGCAATATACCAGAACATTTATATTAACAGTATTTGTATATTGAGAACAGACAAACAAACAGACATACATTCACAAATATGTATTAGCTATATATATGAACGAGGTAATGCACTGTCGATGAGTCAATGTCTGACGTCCAATCATACACAGCTGATCCGGCATGATGACCTTGTCACGGCATATTGTTGGTGTTGTTTTGTTTTAATAACAATGCTGTGTGGTTGGTTACGTGTACATTACTGTCTAATGTGTGCTCCGAAAGTGGGCAAAGAAATTGCCTATTTAACGTACGAAAGTAAGAAAGAGAGAGAGAAAGAGTGAGTGAGAGAGAGAGAGACACAGAGAGAGAGAGAAAGAGAGAGAGAGAGAGAGAGAGTGCGAGAGAGTGCGAGAGAGAGAGAGAGAGTGGTGCGTGCGTGTGTGGAGCGAGAGAAGTCCCGGCCTTCACGGAAGCCCTAGCATCCACTGAAGCCATACTGCACTGACACAACAGCAGCAGACTCGAGCAAACAAAGGCATCACAGCAGTGCCCCCTACATTGCACGAGCCGCAGCGTGCACGGGCTGCGTCCACGCGGTCAGCCAGCGAGGTGAATAACCCTGCACCACAGCCTCACTCTCCACCTCGACCTTCTCCCCCCTCCCTCCTCCTCCCTCCCCTTACTCACACACACTCATCCAGCCCTCACTCACCTCGCCCATCTCCCTCACACTCACCCAGCCCTCCTCCATCACTCCCCTCACTCCCCTCCCTCACACACGCTCACCCAGCCCTCCTCCATTACTCCCCTCCCTCACACACACTCAGCCCTCCTCCCTCACTCCCCTCCCTCACACACGCTCACCCAGCCCTCCTCCATTACTCCCCACCTCCATCCCCTCACACACACTCACTCAGCCCTCCTCCCTCACTCCCCTCCCTCACACTCACTCGGCCTTTCTCCCTCACTCCCCTCCCTCACATTCACTCAGCCCTCCTCCCTCACGCCCTTCCCTCACACTCACTCAGCCCTCCTTCCTCACGCCCTTCCCTCACACTCACTCAGCCCTCCTCCCTTACTTCCCTCCCTTACACACTCGGCCCTCCTCCCTCACACTCACTCAGCCTTCCTCCCTCACTCCCCTCCCTCACACACTCGGCACTCCTTCCCTCACGCCCCTCCCTCACACACACTCACCCAGCCCTCCCCCTTCACTCCCCTTACTCACACTCACTCAGTCCTTCTCAACTCACTCCCCTCCCTCACACACATTCAGCCCTCCTCCCCCACTCCCCTCCCTCACCTCCTTCACACTCACTCAGCCCTCCTCTCTCACTCCCCTCGCTCACACTCACTCAGCCCTCCTCCCTGACTCCCCTCACTCACACTCACTCAGCGCTCCTCCCTCACTCCTTTCCCTCACACACACTCAGCCTTCCTCCTTCCTCCCCTCCCTCACACACACTCACCCAGCCCTCCTCCCTCACTCCCCTCCCTAACCTCCCTCACACACACTTGGCCCTCCTCCCTCACTCCGCTCCCTCATACACACACTTACCCAGCCCTTCTCCCACACGCCCCTACGGCGCCCCTCTAATTGTTACTGGCCTAGGCTTCGCAGCATCACAGCGCGCATCGCCAGCTAATGATGAAGCCTAATGAACGCAGCTTCCCACGCGTGTCGGCAAGCGGCCAAACGCCACTTCCATCCTCCGCGTAGATGTCTGCTGGTGACAGCATCACATACGAGTGTGTGTACGTGTAACTGCCTATAATATACCCGCCGCGTATGTGTAACCGCATCATTAACCGCATGCATACGCGTGTACGTGTTACTGCCTGCCTAGTCTATATATGCGTGTATGTGTTATTGCCTGTCTAGTATATATGCGTGTACGTGTTACTGCCTGCCTAGTCTATATATGCGTGTACGTGTTATTGCCTGTCTAGTATATATGCGTGTACGTGTTACGGCCTGTCTACTAGTATATATGCGTGTACGTGTTACTGCCTGTCTAGTATATATGCGTGTATGTGTTACTGCCTGCCTAGTCTATATATGCGTGTACGTGTTATTGCCTGTCTAGTATATATGCGTTGTACGTGTTACGGCCTGTCTACTAGTATATATGCGTGTACGTGTTACTGCTTGTCTACTATATATGCGTGTACGTGTTACAGCCTGTCTAGTAGTATATATGCTTGTACGTGTTACTGCCTGTC